CCACCCTCTTTTTAAAGGGGCCAAAAGTAATTGGACAATTCACTTAAAAGCTATTTCATGGACAGGTGTGGGCAATTCCTTCATTCTTTCATTATCAGTTAAGCAGATAAAAGGCCTGCAGTTGATTTGAGGTGTCTTGTTTGCATTTGGAAGATTGAGGTGTGAATATACAACATGCGGTCAAAGGAACTCCACTGCTAGATGCAAGCCACTCAAACATTTAGGCCAGGTTAAGGTCCAGGACTTTATTAAAGGAAAGAAGTGGAATATTCTCGAATGGCCAAGTCAGTCACCTGACCTCAGCCCCACTGAGCATGCATTTCACTTGCTAAAGACTAAGCTACAGAGAGAAAGACCCACAAACAAACAGTAACTGAAAGCTGCTGCAGTAAAGGCCTGGAAGAGCATTAAAAAGCAGGAAACCCAGGGTCTGGTCATGTCCATGAGTTCAAGCCTTCAGGCAGGGTTTTCAACCAAGTATTAGAATTGAACATTTTATTTGCAGTTATATTAATTTGTCCAATTAGTTTTGAGCCCCTGAAAGGAGGGGATTGTGTAGAAAAATTACTTTAGTTCCCCACATTTTTATGTAGTGTTTTTGTTCTACCCACTGAATTAAAGCTGAAAGTCTGCACTTCAACTGCATCTGACTTGTTTCTTTTAAAATTTATTGTGGTAATGTACAGAACATAAAAATTGAAAAACTTTGTCTCTGTCCAAATATTTATGGTCCTGACTGCAGGTGGCTTGGCATGTCCAAACTTTTGACTGATACTGTATATCAGATATATCCATTCGTCCATCCAACCATCTGTCAACTGTCTTTCAAGTACAGGTTTGTATAAGGGGAATGGGGTCTGTTCCATGAGTAAATTGCATTTATCTGTCATTTTTTGGACTCACAAATACTACAATTCCAAAATAGTTTGGGAAAGTATGGAAATGAGAACAGTCGAATATTGACCACTGTGTTACATCACCATTTCTTTTACCAACACTTAAGTTTTGTAAGTGGAATTTTCCCCCATTCATCTATTGTGTGTGTCCTCCGCTGCACAATTGGTGCCTTTGTTGCTGTATTTTGCTATTCATAATGCACCACACATTCGAGATAGGTCGGGACTGCAGGCAGGCCAAACTAGTACTCGCACTCCATGCACTTGTAATCGGGGCAGAATTTGGTTTGCTGGAAAATGCAGGGACTTGCCTGGAAAAGCAGGTGTCTAGATGGCAACGATTTGTAGGGGACATCCTAGACCCTAAATGTTTTTTTGGCCCATATGGGCTCCCCATGGGTTGCATTCCCCTGACACCCCCCCACCCCCATTCCTCCAGTGACATCGTTATTAGTCCTAAATTGCCCCTGTCCCAATATCTTTTAAAGAAATGCAGTTGATTAGGTGAAACATGAAATATCTTGTCTTTGTCTTCTTTTTGTTTGAAAGTCAAAGTAAATTTTATAAATCACTCCTTTTTTGTTTATGGAAGTGAGGTTTTATCTAAAATATATGATTTTTAATAGCAACATATGATTTTCTTTTAGAAAATTTATTTGGCATAAAAACTGATGTAGTCTGTTGTTGAAACATGTTTGTTCTGTTCCGTTGTATCAAGAAGGTACATATACTGTACATTTACGTTTGATCTTTTTGTCTGACTCACAGCCAATACCAGACATAAGAATACCTTTCTATTAATTTAATTATGCATTTACTAAATGACATGCTATCTTCATTGCATCTCTGAGTGGTGATTCTTAAAACATCTTAAGAATTTTACCTATGACTCTCGCTGTCCAAGGACCACTGGAGGTAGAGTATGCTACTTACTGGCTGTCGTGAGCAGGAACAGGGATTAAAGTGATGAACATGCAGACCTCCATCTTCATCAGGACAAACCGACTCTCCTCAGAGCAAATCTGAGACGCCAACCTTCACCTCTGAGCTCTCAGTTTGAGTCTTTTTGTATCATCCTGCCCCTCAGAGAGGACACGCCCCCACCCACCAATCACACACAGAAATGTTCTATCAAAGGAAGTTTCGGAAAACACCAAGTAGGTGCAGTGTCAAATCAGAAGACTCATGTTCTCCTTTTCTGCATATATATTGTCAGCAGCAGTGATGTTTGTCAGCACTCATGCTCTTAGCAATAGAATCTCTTTAGATAAAAAAAAGTACTTTGAACTGCATGGTGTCCTCATGTTCAAGCACTAAGGGCCAACAACTGCTGGCAGACACTTATTTCCTAAGCTGTGGGGCAGGACTGTCTTCCCCATTGCAGCTGGATGCCTACACTGGGGAAAGGTGTTGGAGGATGAAACGGGAAAGCCAGCTGTGGATGCATGGGCCCTGAAGGTACTGTTGCCTCCTAACTGATCCCTCTTTGTGTGTCACAGTAGTGGAGCATGTGGGAATCAGAGATGCAAATATCAACATTTGGGACGTCTCCTTTAACCAGGGTACTGGAGGAGGTCCCTGTGACCCATTTGTTTATTACTAAGTTCAGGACTCAGGTTGTCCTCTAGCTGAAGCTGTAGTGAATCCCAGAGGCCGGTTTACAGGCTATGGAGCGGGAAATGAAAAGATATATTGACTGGGAATAATTGATGAATCCCACAGCCCTTTGTCCATTGCCACTGTGAAGGTCTCCAAGCCAACTAGATCCCTGTGGTTTTGCAACTTCCACCAACTGAAAGAGGTTGCCTAGTTTGACAGTTACTAGACAAATAGACTAGGTTGTTGTCCATACCAAGACTTGGCAGAGCAACTCAATCCGAAGGTTCCTACTCCAGCCTGTGAAAAGATCTTTCTCCATCACCATAAAACAGGTATTGGAATTCCTAGGACTGGCAGGGTATTATCATTTTTTTGCATAATGTCCATGATGCCATGAAGGAGGCACCTGATTGGTTATGATGTTCAGATATTCTATAGCATTCAAGCCATGCTGCACTTTTATCAGGGAGCCCAATGTGTGCCATGAATGTGCCCCACACCATCACACCACCACCCTCAGCCAGCAGTGCTGACACACAGGTTGATTTACTCATAGACTCATGAGGTTTGAACAAGGATTCATCAGACAAGAAAATTGCAATTCAGTTGTTAATTATGTAAATATTTGTCACATAGATGGCACTTCATACGAATATGCCTATATGCAGGGGTCCCCAAGAATTTTTCCCCAAGTGCCAAAATTCCATAAGCAACATAAATCAAGTCCACTGTGTCCAGGGTTAGGGTTAGGATTCAAACTATTCAATTTATTTATATTTTAGTCTGCCAGTTGGTGACCAACCCACAATTATAAATATTCTCAGAAAAAACACAGATGAGTATATTAATCACGATTCTGTCATTAAAAACGCCCCACCTTCCATTAAAAGTTATTAAAACCATAAAGCTGAATATCTAATATGAGGCTAACTTAACCGCGATCAGTGACAAATTATCTTCATCTTCTACCAAGCAAATAGGCCTGCGAGTCTGTGAGCACAGTGCAACCTCTGTCCATCCTCTCGGCCCACTCTCTGCCCTGTTGGCTCTGCAAACCAGCAGGTTCCAGGCCCATGCATACATGCTAGTGTCACAGCTTTCTTAAATTAATTGCACAAGGGTGTCTATTGTATTGTATTGTATGTATTGTGCATTCTGCTGTTTCCTTGTGCATATATAGAGTGTATACTGTTGTACAGTTTTATATTTTGTTTGCATTTATTTAATGTACTGCACTGCTGATAGGAAACTCATGACACAAGACTTTCACTCAGTAGGTCACTCGTTCTAGTGAAGTGACAATAAAAGTGATTGATTAGGTCTGATCTTATCTGACCTGACAGTCGGGGCTGAACTATTTTACATTTTAATGGCAGTTGGTAAGAATCCACACGCATTTCAAGCCTTCGGCTGTCCAATTGGATTCCGCCATTGGGCCAGTGGACGGTTCCCCTACAGGACACACTAGCGTACATGCTGCACACAGCAAGACAACATGCCTATACGCAAGTTTTTCAAAAAAGTAAGTCTTCATCACTGCTGGTAATAACAATTAGTTAGCTCCAGCTAACAGCAGAGTCCCATGTAATTAACCCCCTGGGGTCGGCGGTCCCGCTGGCGGTACTGAACAGAAATTTCGCCGAACCGTTTAAATAACTCTGCGAGACACGCTTCAGCATCTGACTCACAACAGAGTGATTGACCGATTTGCCACTCTTAAAAACAGACGGCATTCTTTGATGCTCCCACCCACCAAGTAACTGGTGATTGCAGCCATAAAAATTATGTACTTTATATTCAGTTTTTTTCTTGTTGTTAATGCAGCAAACACATTTCCTGTGTTTTCTTGTTGTACTGTATTAAAAAACAGACTTAAATAAAACAACAAATCTATTGGTGGCCTAAGATGTTTAAGCTGTCCAAAAAAGTTGAAAAGCAATTTCTCAGTCTTTGTTTTCTGTTTGTGAAATTTTGTGCTCATGCGCTACGTTTCTTCATATCGTGTGCATTTCTTGGGGGCTAAGCCCCCCCTGTCCTTAAAACCTAGTGACGCCCCTGGCTGACATTAACTTAACACTGACAGTAACAGTGTGTGTAGCAAAGTGAGTCATTATATCTCAGGCTCTCTCCTTCTGCAAGGAATTTCTCATAAATAAAGCCAAGCAGTCACTGCTGAATTACTCTCATTGTCTGAATGCTTAGTAAAATACAGTATAAAGGCTGTGGGTTTGATTCCTGCTCCATCCCAGCTCCATCTGTGTGAGGTTTGCATGTTCTCTTCATGTTCATGTGGGCTTCCTACGCAGACCTGCGAGGGAATGGCTCCAGGCTCACCTACAACCCTGTACTGGACAAGTGATTACGGAGGTGGGTGGATGAAGTTTAAATAATAAAAAAAATATTGAACATATGGTGCAATTTTAAAACGTTGTATTTTAAAATTCCCGCAGTTTTGGGATTAAGACAAACATTTCTGATATTTTTTACTTCATGAGTTTTATTTCAAAATATAATTAAATGTATAGAAAAGAAAATATAAAATACAAAAACAGAAAATGCCACAGGGATAAGCATTTTGAACAGAGATTTTATAGGTGGACAAAAGCTGTGACATAAATTGTGTTTAAATGAACATATAAGAGCTTTTTATTATGCCTTCATTTTAAATAAATACCTTAATACTCTAATTTAATAAAAATGCAACTAGCAATGATGGTAGGAGCTGCTGTACAACATGAAGCTCATTTGAAGAATAATTTCATAAACCTTTGGACAGGAGCTTCCTCAGGCAGGACTGTCAGTCCCTCCTCCCCCACATCATCATAGTCAGTCTGGTCGGGTTCAGGGAGGCCGTCCCCAGGGGGCAGTGTGGTCAAGGCTCTCTCACCTACAGGGACAGAGGAGGGGACACAGGGTATTGACAAACTGTAACTGGGACTTATACAGGAGAGTAGTTGTATGCAAAGCAAGAAAAAAATATGTTTATTAATTAGTTGTGGCAGACACAAACAATGTGATTCAAAATAATGTCAGTCCATGTTAATCACACTTAAATAGATGTCAGTATTCATAAATAATAGATTATTATGAATATGGAAAGGGAAGCATGCAGGTGATCAAAACATCTGAAATGAGCAGTATGGTTGTGAGAGAGACTTTGCTCCATTAGATGTGTATAAAGAGAAACTGACCTGGTAAAACATGTAGGCTCTGCTCTATACCCTCAACATCATCATAGTCCTCTGGTGTGTCTCCTGTTACCATCAACCCTGAACCTGGAAAAAGAGAGACCTCAGTACACAGGAGCCAGTTGACTGTTATAATTACTGACTGCTTGTCTGATTTGAAATTATTTTCTCCAAAAGTCTTCAAAAGTCCACAACATAATAATAGTGTGTGTGGGTTAAATCAATGATTACTTTCCGAATATTACAGTAGAATGTTTTTAACAAAAATAAAGGTTATAAATTAAATAATTCATTTAGGAATTTAAAGACTACTGTAAATGTAAATAACCATGGACCCATACGAGAAACACGGTGAATGTAATAATTTACCAAAGAAATGTCCTGAGTCCTGCCCAACAGTCCCAGCATCATCATAGTCTGCTGGTGTGTCTTTTATCACCAGATCCCCTGTATCAGACACAGAAAAGCTGCTTCTGTGTATCAGACATGCATCACTGTAGACTTTACATAACTCAAATTATTATGCTGGTATAATTAAAATTAGCCTTGGGGGACAACAAATATACTTCTAAGGATAAAGATATTCAATCTGATACTGAGATAAAAATTATGAACTGAGGTAAACCAGGGTAAACACCCACCTGATAGATTATCAGCAATCTTTTCTGTAATGACAGCATCATCATCACCGTCCTTC